CTCTTTCACCTGAGCAAAGATAGATATAAATGCACATGCATAGCGAAGGCATTGCAAGGAAGAATCTCAACGGGAAAAAATATAGATGCAACATAGGTAGATTACATTGTCTCAACACAGGACGATGGATTCCATAGTTATACATAACCATAAAGCAGTTCGAAAAGGATATATACATATAATATCTTTTAGGTACCAGGAAAAGCAGAAAGAATCATGTATGAGCTTGTACAAACGGACTATTTAGGCGCTGATTAATAAGAAGTATAAACACACTAAGAAAAGGGCTATCAAATAGCTACTCCCTCCGTTCCAAAATAGATGACTCAACTTTGTACTAACTTTACTGCAGAATAGCTGTAATCTCGACTATATCTTCACTAACAATTGAAAAGGGATGGCTGTAATCTAAGTTATATCTTCACCAACAATTAAGACTTTTTTGCTTGACGCATTCTCCAGAGAAGAATCATTTGAAGGTGTCGGACTGCTCTAGCTGCCTTACAGAGTTAAACCGCTACTCCTCTTAAGAAGTTCCAACCAGTGCCTGTTTCAGAATGAGTGGGTAAATTTTATCATGACGTCTGGTGTAAGCGCCCAGTTTGAAAATATAAAGCATTGTCAGTTTGGCACATATGCAAATCTATTATTCTGAGAAGAAACATTTTTCCTCAAATAATAACTTTGTATGATATATTGTGGTTACATCAAAGAAATCATCTCCAAGTTTAACAGTCTTCTACTACAATCAATCAAAAGGGCACAATAAGATCATGTAACATCACTAAGCTAACTCAAAAGAACCAAACTCTAAATATTTCGTATTTTCCTAGGCACGACAACCGCAACAAAAGAGGAAACAGATCAGCCATAGTACAATTGTGTTTGTATAGGCCTACTAAAAGAACACATGAGTAATAAAGTCCACGAACTGAAATCTAAATAATTTCAGAGCAGCCCAAGCATAATGCAAGCAGCACAACTACGGCGGCGAGTTGTGGACATCAGTTGTAAGCAGCCCTCTACCGGGACAGTCGAAGTGGACCTGCTTTGACTGAGGACCTGTCGAAGTGGATGTAGGTGCAGAGGTTGATCCGTTGCTGAGGCGAGGCTTGCGGCGGCGGTCCGAACGGGTTTCTTCGCGCTGATCCGATCGGTGGCCTTTATGCGCCTGGAAGCAAAATATGTTCTGAATGACATAGGTAGGTTAACCAACTGGGAGAGAGTAAGTTGTTCATTACTTAAGCACGACAAAATTTAGAGAAAGGAACACATAGTGTCGGTCTGAATTCCTTTAGCTCACCACCCAAGATAAAGACATACTATAAGACCTATGATCCCATCTTTACATAAATTGAGAGACATATACCTATGACATAACTACAAGCTCTACATTTGAGATGCCTGCTCAGAGTATCTTTCATTTCATCGCAATTCTTTTGAATACGAATAAGAGAAACTTGTTGCACTCTCTTTTTTAAATGAATAAAAGAACTCGTGTCATTCGATAGAGCAGAACCTAAATAGTCAAATTTGATTGGTACTTACACTTTTTAGTTTCCAGAGTCCATGTTCTGGACAACATTGTCACAGTGGATGCTGGGACCATCTCCCTTGATCAGTCAGCAGAACGGATTTTCAGATGTGGGCCTCTTCATGCCTTCTCCACTACTGCTGTTGCCACCTTGTGCTGGTCAGACCTAAACTGTGATACAAAAAATAAAACGGATTAACAGAGCAAGCTCCAAAAATCTACAGCATGAAAGCATAGATGATCAGAGCATTGAATCAAAGTGGATTTTGCTGCCACGACGCGGTTCGGTCAGAAGGCAGCCTTAGACGTACAGATAAACTGGATCTCTGCCGTCGCTTCATGGTTAGTTGCTACAACTGCCTCCGACTCATGGATTTGGCTACAAGGTCACACCTGATAGGGAAGTCCCAGCTTCACATTGCCTGGAGTACACCACTGTCAGGCTTTACTCGCACCAGAAAAACCAGTGTCATTAACAAGGACTAAAGCAAAACCCATTTCTCCAGTATCCTGATAACCTCACAGTCTATTTGCTCTAGCTCTCACGTCTTCACATGTCGACCCAGCTCTGAATACAACGTTAAGTTACCCTTCTGTATCCATGTAAAAATTAGACAATATCATGGTAATAAGAGATCTACTTGATGGTAAAACATAGCTCTATAATAAGTATGAACAGATACCAAAGGATGCATCCTTTTAAATAATTCTGAGGGCATCATGAGTATTGCAAAAGCATGTACAAATAATGACATAACTAAGAGGAATGAATATTTCCTCTTGGAAGTTTCATACTTCTAGTTCTTCTGGTTCATAGAAGTAATGTGACTTTCGGGGTGTGAGAAATAAGGCCAGCATCTTCCCCATGGCATCTCTTGACCAGAATCGGACTCTTCTCACCCTCTCTTTCTTCTTTCTTCTTCTCCTCCTCTTCCGAGGCTGCATCGTCGTCGGTCAGCATGTCGCCCTCTCTTTCTTCTCCTCTCTGAACAATTCACATGATCAACGTATAGACCCGGTGCTATAAGATAATGTACAAGAAAGACAGCTACCACACCAGGGTTGCACGAGCTACCTCAAAAGTGTCAGCATAATATTGCATTGAAGAAGGCATAATCTTCATGCGCTTAGTTAACACCATGTGTAGTAAAACATTCGTCTGCAAAGCCACAGACACCCAGGGTCAAAATCCACTATTGTTTTCACCACAAAATCAGATCAGACAAGAGGGAAAGACAACTTCGAATTATAATTAGCAAAGCACCAGACAAGAGGGAAAAACCACTTTGAATTATAATTAGCAAAGCACCATCCAGAGGCAAACAAGGCGCACATTGTTGCGCCCGTCCATTGTAGAGAAGGAATAACAGTTCAAATTGCAGCCCTTCAAGTATACAACCATAGAGAAAGATCGATTGATTTACTGACAGGCTTTTGCTCTAACTTCCTATTCTAACACATATTTATTACCAATAAAAAGTTAGCATTCAATTTCGAAGTAGAAAAGCAAACATGCCCTTGTTTGTAATGGCACTTGAACACCAAAGCGAGGAATATGCAAAAGTGCATGCCTTCACAGTGATAGGACATGATGTAAAATCAATTCCACACTACCACCATCTCATACGTGTAATGGAACAGAAGATGAGCTTCAAAGTGATGGAAGATTGATCTGCTATTACCTGCAGGTTCGGGAAAAGGGGGTTTCTACCAATCAGAAAATCACATATTTGTTCAGATATTTGGATATATGTTGGTCGTCGACCACTGCAACACCTGTGGTCACAACACCAATGCCTATGATACAGCTCCCCTCGTGCCTTCTCCAGCAGCTAGCACGTGGTAAAATCAGCATCACCTCTCCTCAGGTAGGTGTACTCGTCCCGTATCTTTGGCGGATCAGTACAAAATTCATATTTGGATATATGTTGGTCATCTCACGTGCAGATGCTTTGTTAGCACATAATATTGTTGTTAGCAAGCATGTAACATAGGCACAATATTATCATTAGTTTTAATAGTCAAATGTTTAAAGTAGACTCACCATGCTTCCCCACTGGTCCTGGACGACGGCCTCCGCATCGCGGTCGAGCAGCAGATCAACGAAAAGCAGACTCACCGTGCTTCCCCACTAGTCCTGGACGACGGCCTCCGCATCGCGGTCGAGCAGCAGATCAACGACCTTGGCGTGGCCCTCGATCGATCCAGGAGCAGATTGAGCCGCCACAGACCACGAGGTCGCGCCCGACTTCGTCCGCGCAGGCCGGCAGCAGCCGGTGACCCTCTCCCGTCCGCCGCCACACCTTCCTCTCCTCTTTCTCTCTCTGGAGCAGTTCGAGACGGAGCGATGCCGGTCGCTCCATCGGACAAGGAGGAGGGATGGAGCCATGGATGAGCGAGTGAGCACGGGCGCCGCGTGGAGCCGGCGGCGCGGCCGGAGGGAAGAAGGGGATCTCGAGCGTCGGGGGAGAGAAGGTCGCGTCGGCGCCGCGTGGAGCCGGCGGCGCGATGGGAGGGAACGGGGATCAGGGGAGGGGAGAGCACGGGAGAGAGGGCAGGGGAGAGGAGATATTTTCACGGGACCCCTGCTGGCTGTTTTTTTTCCTCGCGCGGTGCACTGTGCGCTCGCTGTTTGATTCACATCGATGTGGATGGCGTGAGCCTGTCTAGCACCCCCTTCATCCTTTATAAGTTTGATACTACAGGAGTGATCCATTCGCGTGCGGGGTGCGAGTGCGACTTGGACTTAGGACTTGGGCAACCGGTGACGGCGAGAGGTTACTCTGTCTCCTTCCTCTGCGACGGTAAGAGGACATAGTTCTACTTCTTCACCCTATCAACCGTTTGCATGCAAGGATGCTGTCATAGAGAGGATATCCAGAATCTTCGTGTCTTGTGGCGGCATAGGGAGTAGAAGAAAGACTATCCTTCACACGAGTTGAGTATCTTCGTCATCTAAGCGGGTAACAAAATATTTTTATTTTATACAAAAGATGATGCTATCTGAATTCAAGACTAATTTGAGCACCACTCGCATTTTATTCAAAGCTGGTCGGGCTTTTTTTTTAGAGGAAAGCAAAGCTTTATTACTTAACTGAGCTTAGGCATATCGCCTATTACAGAGGCGCCCACATGGGCAGGTACATTCGAGTCCCATTCCATGTACTGATTGGGATCACAACTACGGCCAATTATGGCAAGATCGTGAGCTACAGAATTCGCCGTGCGTCTACACACGGTGATTACAACCTTGGCTTGAGTGAAACCCAAATGTCAATTTTGGAGAAACACCCGGGACACAGCCTCTACATCCCAGCCCAGCGTGGCCCAGCAACGCTGCCCGTTCCGGCTCCCCACTCTCTCCGGTCCCAGTTCAATCCCCATCAGCTGCACTCGAAACGGCGCCAGAACCCCCAAATTCCCCATCCCAGATGCCCAGCACTCTCCGCCTAACCAATCTCCACACATGAGGAAGGCGGCGGCGGCGGCGGCGGCGCCTCCAACCGCGGCTGCCAAGACGAAAGCGGCGGCAGCGGTGCCCGCGGCTGCTAAGAAGAAGCCCCTGGCGAAGAAGAAAGCGGCAGCGGCCGTACCCGCGGCCAAGAAGAAAGCAGCAGCGGCGGTACCTGCGGCGAAGAAGAAGGCGGCGGCAGCAGATGTTGCCAAGAAGAAGAAGACGGTACCCGCAGCCAAGAAGAAGGCGGCGGCGGCGGCACCTGCAACCAAGAAGCGCGCATCCGGTGGAACGGCCGGGTGCAGGCCACGGAAACGGGCACGGGATGACAACTGCGACGGCGATCTCATCAGCAACCTTCCGGACGCCGTCCTATGCACCATCATCTCCCTCCTCCCCACCAAGGACGGCGCTCGCACGCAGGCCATCGCACGCCGATGGCGCCCTCTCTGGGGCTCCGCGCCTCTCAACCTCGACGCCGAGAACCTCAACACCAATGATTTCAAGCAGCCGCGCCGCCGCCGAGGGCCTCGACCGTCGACGGAATCCATCATCTCCAGGATCCTCTCGGACCACCCTGGCCCCGCCCGTCGCTTCGACTTCCGATTAACCTGCATCTTCCCAACAAAAAGAGAGCACGCCAAGAGTGTTGCTCAGATCGTGAGCTGGTTAAACTCTCTGAGCCTCGACAACCTTGAGGAGCTCCATATCTTCTTCCCGATCTTGTGTCGAGCAGCTCCGACCCCCATGCTCAGATCCGTGCTCCGCTTCGCATCAACTCTCGTCGTGGCCACTGTTGGCCACTGCAATTTTCCAGATGAGATCGCTCCTTCATTGAATTTCCCCATCCTCAAGCATCTCACCCTGCGTCACGTTAACATCTCCGTGGATGCATTCCATGGTGTTCTCTCCGCCTGCCATGTGTTGGAGACCCTATTTCTGCCTGAAAATGTTTACAATGGCTCCCTCCACATAAGCTCACGAAATCTTAGGAGCATCTGCTTCAGTGATTGTTTTATGGGCACAAACGAATTGGTTATTGAGGACACCCCTCACCTTGAAAGGCTGCTTTGTCCATGCTTGGACGTCGAGACTATCCGGGTAAATAGGGCACCTAAACTGGAGATATTGGGCCCATTGTCACCGCGCATCTCCAATGTTCAGATTGCAAACCTAGTCTTTCAGGTAGAAGCATCCTTCCCGACTCTTGCATTTGGCATTCCTTCAGACATTAGTTTTATGCTCATTGTTGTTTTACAGGGGTTGGTTCCAACCAGCTTCAACAATTTGATATGCACAGTGAAGGTTCTGGCTCTCCAGTTTTATTGCGCTAATTTGAATGCGGTTCTTGACGTCCTCAGGTTCTTCCCCTGCTTGGAAAAGCTTTATGTTATGGTGAGTTTTTATATTTGCTTGCTTTAAATGTCAAAATGAGAACTGATACTTGAAAAAGAACTGATTGACACGTAGTCTAGTTAGCAATTACTTTGACATCATCTTTTAAGTCTTCTTTCCTTTTACAGTGGAACGAATACTTAGAGACAAACACTATAGGAGAAATAAATGAAGCCGAGTATGAAACATACTCGGCGAACAGCGTTTTAACATCGGCGACGTGTAAGCCGAGTGTTACACTCGGCTTGCCCTACTTGGCTTAAATGTGTATTTGGTACTCCAAGAAGAATTGATTGACATGTATAATCTAGTCTAGTTAGCAATTACTTTAAAGTTTTAAAATATGTATCTTATAAGTCTTATTTCCTTTCCAGTGGAACAAATACTTAAACACAGAGATGAACAATGTGCGTCATTATGACCCAATAGATCCAATCAAATGCCTTGAGACCCATCTCAAAACACTTGTGTTGAAGAATTACAAAGGCGACAAGCAAGATGTTACCTTTGCCAAGTTCTTTGTTCCGAATGGGAAAGTGCTAAATGCGATCAAATTTGGCGTGACTGTGAAGTTCGACGAGAAATGGGTGGCTGATCAACACAGGCTGCTAGGAGTGGAAAATGAAGCTTCTCCGGACCTTGAGTTTAAACATTGTTCGTACTATTTGAATCGCCATTCAGATATCCATGACTTGTCAATTGCTGATCCCTTCAACAACTCTTTTCTAGCTGAAGATGATGCCCTTCTAGTGATATCATGCTCTTCCAGTTCTGATGAGGATAGTACCTGAAGACCGTGTTATCTTGCACTTGTGTTTATGGTGCCGATGCCTCGATATTGTGCTGCCAGCAGTTCAATGCTTGTTTCTCTGTTTCTAGTTTAATGTTCCTTTGTTATTCCCAGCATGGTATGCCATGTAACTGTGAGCTAGTGAACTCAGCATCAAACTCCTCTCTTAACATGTCTTTTGTCTGAGAAAGGAGGACTCTCGTTTGTGTCAGCAATGCATTCTTGGTGATCAGACGTTGCACCAGTCGAAATCAGAAATTCACGAAACCTCTCAGTTGCCCTTTTTCACACAAGCAAAAGTTTAACTTGCCACTGTTTATTACTTTTTGGTTCCCTTTGATGAGAATAAAGCCGTTTCAGGGATGCATATTTAGTTCCAAACTATAATAGATGATAGTGTCAAGATTCATGGTCCATGTCATTTTTTTTCCTCTTCATTCACTAAGGTTTAAGGTGAATAATATGCAGAGTCCTGATGTCCAAATACTGGAATTATTCGTACACATAGCGGTTTGCTTAAGCATGGCTGCATATTTGGTTGCCTAACTTCAACAGGTAATAAGGGCAAGATTTATGGTCCATGTGTAAAAATTTCCTTCATCTTATTCACTAAAGTTTAGGGTGAATAATATGCAGAGTCCTCGTCTCCAGATACTGAAATCATGGATATACATAGCTCACTATCATCTTATTCATCTTATTCCTAGTGATGCTAGTAAGATTTTGCCAACGCAGATTATATTTGTGGAATCTGGTGTTGTATGAGTTGATAAAACAAAATCTAGCAAACACATCCTCTGTCAACTGATTTCCTTCTGCAGCCGGCCTACCCAGCATTTTGCTCAAGATTGCATGACGGTGTTTCAGAAACATTTGACAGCATCTGATTTATATATTAACAGACAGCATCTGATTTCAGAAAACAAGTTCAGCTAGAAATTCCCAGCATTGTTTAAGGAAGAAGGAAGTGGTCCAGCGCCGGGCGTCCGTCGAGGCCTTTGCCGTCGTAGTGAGAGAGGAACTCCTCCAGTGTGATGCTCCGGTACAACGGTGGCGCCGACAACGACACCTGGTCCTCGATGGGGCCGTACACCGACGTCGTCATCCTCAGGTCGGCATTGAAGAACACCGCCACCGAGATCCTTGCCCTGTCCCTGCTCCTCTTGGCCACCACCCGGTGCTCCACGCTCTTCAGCCTCCCGTTGCTCACCAGCTGGAGTAGGTCGCCGACGTTGATCACCCACACCGACCGCTTCTTGCTGCCGCTGCCGTCGTCGTCGTCGTTGACGAGCACCTGGAGGCCGGCCATGTTGTCCTGGAGGAGCACGGTGAGGAACGCCGGGTCGGAGTGCTGACTGGTGCCGAGGGTGAGGTGCGGCCGCGGGCACGGCGGTAGTAGTTGCTCACCATGCTCAGGCCATCCGCGCACCTCATCTTCTCCAGCCGGTCCGGCGCCAGCCCCATGGCCTTCGACACCAGCTCCAGCACCCGCACCGCGAGCCGCCGCACCGCGTCGCCGTACTGCAGCAGGACGCCCCGCACGGCGGCGGGGAGCTCCTCCGACTCCGGCGGGTCCGGGAACGCCTGGCGGTGTCGCGCCAGTTAGCCGCCGGCGACTGGTACAGGTCGAAGTTGGAGTTCAACCGGACCCTTTTTAAGAAAAAGTGTTTCCCCCGCTTTATATTATAAAGCAACAAACCAAGCATCCAACACATCAGTACAAAATACAAACAACAAAGTCATGCCGGGGGCACAGCGCAGGACAAGCCCCAAACAAAGCTAAAAAAGCTAATCCGGCTCGGGAGGTGGTGGCGGTGGTGGAGCAAAAGCCGACGCCGACGCCGAGGAACGAAGACCCGCAATGATGTTGTCGATGACGTCTCGGTCGCGCCGCTTGCTAAGCGGTCTCCAGAGCTATAGGAAGCCACACATTTTATAGATTGCATCAGTCACACGGGACGGAATCACGAATTCGATGACTAGTTTATTGCGGGTACACCAGAGGGTCCATGCCAGGATACCCACAGCCAACCAAGTGGGGGTGCGACTAGCGCCGGGGAGCCTAAGGACCTCCCCAAACAAGTCCAGGAGGTTGTCGTGGCACCAATTGCCACCAACCACCTCCTGGAAGCAGCTCCAGAGGAACTGCGCCGCAGTGCACCGGAAGAAGATGTGGTTACAGTCTTCCGGTACCAAACAAATGGGGCAGAGGCCATCCCTAGGTCCATTACGATTTCGGACCTCCGTGCCCAAAGGGAGGCGGCCTCGTACCCATTGCAAGAGAAATATACGGATTTTCAAGGGGAGTTCGATCTCCCAAAGCACCGGTAGTTCCACCGGGCCAGGGTGGGAACAATCGCCTGGTATAGGGATCTAGTCGAGAATCTACCGCTTGGCTCGAGATGCCAAGACAGCGAATCAGGCTCAAGGGAGGGGGAGTGGAGGGCAATACACTCGAGGAATTCCTCCCATTGCTCGAGCTCCACCGCCCCGAAGGTACGGCGGAAGGCAATAGCACCCAAGTCAGCTAAGGCCACGGCCATAGAGAGCTGTGGGCGGACACAGATCGAGAATAACGCGTAAAAGCGATCCGCAAAGGGACGGGTCCCGACCCATCTATCCAGCCATAATAAGGTGCCAGATCAGGTGCCCACTTTAATGGAGGTCCCAATGCGCAAGAATTGGGACCCTCCAGACCTAGGGGCAAAGGCCAGCGGTTGCCCGTGAAGGTACTTTGCGCAGATAATCTTTAGCCACAGGCCGCCTTCATCGGTCTAAATCCACCAAAGCCATTTGGAGAGGAGGGCAATATTCATCCGCTTGGAAGAAATGACCCCAAGGCCTCCTTGTTCCTTAGGTTTACGGATCTCAGACCATTTCACCATGTGGTACTTGACGATGCCATGGACCTAGGGTAGGGTCATATGACTGACCTATACGCCCTACCCAAAGTCACTACCCTAGAATCAAGGACATTCAAAGTATAGCAAGAGATACCGACTGAAGTAACCATGGAGTGCAATCCACTCCACCAGTTACCTCACTCGGATACCCCCAATTTCACTCGACCAGGATAAAGTCATTCGACCATACAAGAAACCACTCCGAGTACAGAAGACCTAGAGTCACTCAGGATGGCAACGGCCAGGCGTTCACTCTGTAGTCTAAAAGATCATTAATAGCACTTTATAGCTGGCGTTATCAGTAACGCAATGTCTTAATTGAAGGAAATATGCCCTAGAGGTAATAATAAATGTTATTATTTATTTCCTTAATTCATGATAAATGTTTATTATTCATGCTAGAATTGTATTAACCAGAAACTTAGTACATGTGTGAATACATAGACAAAACATATAGTCCCTAGTATGCCTCTACTTGACTAGCTCGTTAATCAAAGATGGTTATGTTTCCTAACCATAGGCATGCGTTGTCATTTGATGAACGGGATCACATCATTAGGAGAATGATGTGATGGACATGACCCATCCGTTAGCTTAGCATTATGATCGTTACAGTTTCATTGCTACTGCTCTCTTCATGACTTATACATGTTCCTCAGACTATGAGATTATGCAACTCCCGAATACTGGAGGAACACTTTGTGTGCTACCAAACGTCACAACGCAAATGGGTGATTATGAAGGTGCTCTACACGTGTCTCCGAAGGTTTTTTTTTGGGTTGGCATAGATCAAGATTAGGATATGTCACTCCGTGTTTTTGAGAGGTATCTCTGGACCCTCTCGGTAATACTCATCACTATAAAGCCTTGCAAGCATTTTGACTAATGAGTTAGTTGCGGGATGAAGTATTATGGAACAAGTAAAGAGACTTGTCGGTAACGACATTGAACTAGGTATGATGATACCGACGATCGAATCTCAGGCAAGTAACATACCGATGACAAAGGGAACAACGTATGTTGTTATGCGGTTTGACCGATAAAGAACTTCGTAGAATATTTAGGAGCCAATATGAGCATCCAGGTTCTGCTATTGGATATTGACCGGAGATGTGTCTCGGTCATGTCTACATAGTTCTCGAACCCGTAGGGTCCGCGTGCTTAACGTTCGATGATGATATGTATTATGAGTTATGTGTTTTTGATGGCCGAAGTTTGTTCGGAGTCCCGGATGAGATCAAAGACGTGACGAGGAGTCTCAAAATGGTCAAGACATAAAGATTGATATATTGGACGACTATATTCGGACACCAGAAGTGTTCCGGAGAAGTTTCGGATAAAACCGGAGTGCCGGAGGGTTACCGGACCCCCCCCCCCCGGGGGGAACTAATGCGCCTTAGTGGAGATAGTGGAGGGCTGGCCGCGCGCCCCCTTGAGTCTGAATAGGACAAGGGAAGGGGGGCAGCGCCCCCCATTTCCTTCTCCCTGTCTCCCTCTCCTTCCTTCCCCCTCTCTCCTTCTTAGTGGAAACCTACTAGGACTTAGAGTCCTAGTAGGATTCCCCCTTTAGGGGACACACTAAGGAGGGCTAGCCGGCCTCCCCTCCCTCCTTTATATACGGGGGCAAGGGGGCACCCTAGAACACACAAGTTGATATTTTAGCCGTGTGCGGTGCCCCCCTCCACAGTTACACACGTCGATCAAACCGTTGTGGAGCTTAGGCGAAGCCCTACGCCGGTAACTTCATCATCACCGTCGCCACGTCGTCATGCTGACGGAACTCTCCCTCGGCCTCAACTGGATCAAGAGTACGAGGGACGTCATCGAGCTGAATGTGTGCTGAACGCGGAGGTGCCGTACGTTCGATACTTGATCTAGTGGATCATGAAGAACTTCGACTACATCAACCGTGTTATTGAATCGCTTCTGCTTTCGGTCTACGAGGGTATGTGGACACACTCTCCCCTCTCGTTGCTATGCATCATCTAGATAGATCTTGCGTGATCGTAGGATATTTTTCAAATTACCGCGTTCCCCAACAGTGGCATTCGAGCCGGGTCTATGCGTAGATGCTTTATGCACGAGTAGAACACAAAGA